TATATATATATAAATCGTCGCTGTGTTATCGTTAATATTAGAGCGACATTACATCACAGCGAGCGCAGCGGCTTTAATTACGCGGCCGTTTATCGAGCGCAATGTCAATCGAACGATTCGCCGACGGCGATGCCAAAAATATGTCGCGCTTCCAATTACGTGCATGCGGCTTATTAGAGGACGACTCGCGAAAATCGAGCTGCCGCCGCTCGCGACAAATATTTGCGAGGTGGCGTGAGTACGCTCTCTCCGACGTGTTTTTTCTGCTGTATAATGGCTCCGATGTCGATATTACTAGCGATTGCATTTCCGCGCGCGGAAAACACTGGTCGAGAGACGGCGATAACGCTGCTCGAACGGAATTAATACGCGTGGAGGAGTGTTCCGCCTAAACATATTGCCATACGAAATTGGATGTATTTACATTAACAGAGGGACGTGAGATAATCTCTTTTTTTCGCATCGGTCGGTTAAACGCGCAGTTTAGACGCGAGCAAAGTAGGTAAGCCGCGGAGGATGCCGTTTGTTATAACGTGCGTTTTTCTCGCACGTCCTCGCGAACAGCGTCATTTTCGCGAGTTTCCCGAAGGTCTCTCTGTCAGATTCTCGACGAAGAGGTATTTATTGTTTCGATAAAACGTTTGAGCAGCCGTAAACTTCTCAATTTTTAACCGTTCGAGAATTCCTCTGCGGTTGACGTTCATCGGAAAAAATATAGAGCGCATGTATATAGTCGGGGCGAAAGAAAAATAAACACGACGCGTGGGACGTATTGATTTTACAGAGGACGAGGTGGACGCGCTGCGAACTCGCTCTGTCCACGAGATATCTGATTTTTATTAGCCGAAGGGCACACGACCGATCTATCGTGTCGATTAGTCGCTTCCTAAAGGACAGAATTTGGATTATTAATTCGCCAGCGAACAATCGGTAGCATCCGAAAACTCGAGAAGAAGAGAGAGACTCTGTTGAGCTTTCCATCGGGAAGGAAAACTCCATTTTCCACGGCTACTTGCCGGAAAACAGCCGGCGAGATGTTCTAAAGATGAAATGTAGTGCCAAGTATATGTTTCCTTCCTCTACGTATAACGTAGTCTCTCGCTTTTACACAGCCTTTTGAGAACAGGAGCTCTCGGGACACCGAAGACGTCGATTCTTCGCAATGGAACACGATAGATCGTCCGAAATTCCTGGATTGATTTTTCACTCAATTAGGTAGATAACTATCCGTCCGGCGAGTCCCGATGATAACGAGGTAACCGCTGCGAGCGAAAAAATCTTGACATTTCTCGCACGTTGTACGGAGAGGATTCCTTTTGTATTGCGCTCCAGGTAATCCGCTTTGTTAACGGCAACAGAAACGCGATTTCCGTCCGCAGAAGCGTCACGCCAACGCACGTTAATTTTATGAGTCGTTCCTTCCCGTCGCGGATTCTTCTGCAAATAAATTCTTCGGCGTATTCGGTGGTTTTTCAACTGTCTATTATAACGGCTTCGTCGATATAAATGTCCGTTTTTCGGCAAAATTCGATCGTGATTCTGGCTTCATTTCCAAAGCAATCGCATAGAGCTGTCCAATATTGAAAGTTTAATATTCAGCATTTAAACACATTGAGGGAAACGATAATGGAAATTAAATATCAATTATCAATTTTCGCGGGCTGAGCAGGTTTGGAGGCTACATTCGCGCGATAGAATGAAAGATTTAACATAGAGCCAAAGCTTCGACCCGGGATTTCATTGAGACTCGTGTCGATAATGAAAATTTCGCGAGCGGTTTCGTCTGTCGATTTATACTGTATTCCCGACATCTCCGTAGGCAGAAGACGAATAAGTCGAAGGAGCAATTTTTGCACGCTACGAATTCAGCGGCGCTTTTCGCATTTTCCAGGCCGAGTCATAACTCACGTAAGATTCGATCTGACGGTTAATTTCCGCGACGAGGCTGGTGATACGCGGTGGATCACGGACATCTGCTCGGTTTTTCTACAAGTTTAATTGGATCCACGAGCGATTTAATCCGGCCACCACACATGCGAACACGATTTCTCTTCTCGCGTCGCCGCGGGTGCCATTTCTCTCTCTCTCTCTCTCTTTTTGCTCTTTTCTTCTCGTTTGGCTTCTCCCGAAAATTTATTTTGCAAAAAAGTCGCGCACCGCTTCAACGAGTAATTAGGTTAACTACTAAGCGATGCGGCCCATTTTTATCCTCGCGTCGCCGAAACTTTTCCGAGGAATTACTTTCTTTCTGTGTACCTCGTAGCGCTCGCGAGCTATTTTCGATATAAGAGATGTTCCGCTAATTAGGATCGCAAAGTTTGAATCAGCAGCGTTGTAATCGTTATCTTGCGATGCCTTCGATTCGGAAAGTTCATCCTCCGTCTTCTCGCATGGACGAATAAATTAAATCCGAAAGATCGCTTTCATTCAAGCGATAAAGCGATAAAACCGCCGCGAATAAGCTCTCTCGACATTTTATAAATTGCGTATAAAGTACATTTTTTAAAAATCTCTCGAGTCTCCAGCTCGAAACATTTCTTCCCAACACCTGACTGCAAAGAAGGAGCACGGAAAGTAGCCTTTTTCTCCTCTCCACCTACAACGCGGTAATCTTGTTCATTCTGTTAATTTGTGCCGTGTGCTCGTGAAGGGAAAAGAATCATGGATTATCTGGTTACTCGCGGGAGTATTTGGGTTAATTGAGAAGCCGCAGCTCAATGCGACACCATTTCCCCCGTGACCCACCTAAAAACCTTTCCGAACGAACAAAGTCACGTTGACGTTACGTCGAAACGACGACGGTAACGAATATTGCCGTACGATAATAATAATCCGTTCCTTCCGGACGATATTAAGACGCGATTCGATTCTTATCGCCTCGCATAGTCCCGACAGAAGGGAACTCGTTCCTGTCGACGATAATGCCGACCCTCGAAATCGCGCCGGCCGTTTCTCCGCGACGGAGACTTGCGATAACGCCGCTCGATTAGGAAAGCCTTCGGCAAATCGCACGGATAAAATCGCTGCGACGGTCGGGACTGAATACTTAACAAGTTCTCTCGGAGATATTCTTAAGGATCCAAATGGAACTTTAAAGACTCTGTCGAGAATGGAAAGAAAGAAAGAAGGAGACGGAAGAACGGCAATCGATTCGCGACAGGAGGATATATACTCTCTTTCTCTCTCTCTCTCTCTGTCACACTTTGTTAAATATAACGCCATAAAGAAATCCCTTTTTCTTTTCAGTGACGAAGCCGACCAAGGTGGAGGACACTCAGGCCAAGGAGGAGTCCTCCACGATTGAAACTCTGAAATCGTAAGTTTCGCCGAAAGTGTAACCCGCCCGTAAAACGATTCTTTCACACGCACGCGAGCATGTTCTGTATTGTTATTGTGTCCTTTATCACATAATAAACCCTCTTGCGTGATCATTATTTATTTAACGATGGAACACTTTTCAGGTGTTGTATTACCGAAAACTGCGCGCGCTTTCCGCGATACGTTTCTCGCGGGAAACATCAATTTGCACGTAATTCGATTCTTTTCCAATTGCATAAATATTTGATATTCGCTTTCGTTTAACTCCAAAGTAATTAGTTATTCGAGTACATTGTGCGTTATCAAGGATATTATCGTATCGTTCGGCGCGCATTGCGGACGCTTTGAGAATTACGTTACGGTGGAATGTTTACAGCGCGATATTGTTGCGGAAGTCGTAAATAAATAAAAAAGAGAAAACTTCCTGCAGTTCGCTTAGCTAAATGTCCAGTTTTCTCATTAAGAATTAACTGTGATTCACATAAAGCGACCGCTTTTATGTCGAAGGTATTCACCGCAGGGATCGAAACGTCGTTAATTCGATTGCGAGTACAATTTTGAGAATAATAGGAATGGAAAAATCGGCCGGTATCCTTCCCGAATTCGCGTAAAGGAAACGTAACTCGGTGCGTTACGCTCTTTCGCGTAAAGTTTCGTATGCCCAAAGGGCATACCGCCAAACTGCACTCTATTTCCATTCAAATTGGTACACCTGAAAGCAATTAATTCTCGACAAAAGTCGTTCACGGCGGTACAAAAATGTGAATCCCGCATTCTGGAACATCCGAGCAAGAAGCGATTGAAAAGTTCCGAAGAAGGAAAATATTTGTTTTAATTTGCCACTGGCGCTCGATACACGGCCATTCTTAGGGCGACATTTTAGCTTAAAGTGTCGGTCCAATGCTGCAAAATGTACAACAGAAGAATACGAATCATCGTATCAACGGATTGCAATATTTTGACCTTGTCAAATGATCATTCGTAAAGTTTAGACCGGGCCTAAAAGGGGAAAGTCGACTATTTCTGCTATTTGCCAGCAGAATTGAACAAGTAGAGATTCCAGACATATCAAGAATGTTTAAATCCCTACTTGCTGAATTTGTTAGAAAACAACAGAAATAATCAATTAGTGCAAACGCAATGGACACAATTATCCGGATGAAGTTCACTGTCAGTTTGAACGGACACGACCGACCTCTATTTCTATCGTCGACTCGGCTTGGTCGCGCCGCACGTCCATCGACCGAGTGAAATTTAATATGGCTCGTCCATTAAGAGCCTCGTGGATTGATTCGTCGTCGGTCAGCTAAGTAACCCGCGTCAGTGCAAATAACACTGATCGACGAACTGCAACGATCCCTTCACACCGCGAAATAGAAAATGATTTCTGAAACATCTCGCTGCGAGCTTCAATGAAATAAACTCTCCGATATATCATCTTCGCGTTATCATAATTATCTATCGTCGCCTCGTCGCCATAGAAGATATAATTGCGTCACTTTATATGAGTGCTTGTAATCGAGCTCGGAAAAATCGTCGCGCCAAAGCAAAGGGGCCCAGGTTGATCGGTGTTTCAGAAAGTCGGAAACGGGTGGCAAGATAAGCAGCGGAGACGACTGCAGAATATGCCGGAGGTCCTTCGCTCCCGAGGAAGTCTCGCGAACTTGTTGCGAGTGTCAACACAAGGTCTGCGAGGACTGCGCCTCGTATTCAACGACAACGAATTCCGACGATCCGGTGAGTTTGCACGCCGTCACCATTCTAATTAACCGGTTCATTGTTCTCCGCCGGTGGTAAATATTGCCATAAAACGAGATTGGACGGTGTCTGAGCGCAAATTAATCGTCGGACCGGACGGAGAGAAAAACACGGGAAGGAGGACGCGAATCGAACGTGAAAATCTAATTTCACGGTAGTAATTAATCGCGGCATTTTTATCGCCGCTGCTCCTCCGCTCTCGCATCATTGAGTCCTGTCATACGACAACATTAATCCAGTTTAGTAACAACAACTGTAGTTAGTGAGTACTTGCATTTAATTGGAGTATATTTTTAGATCTAAACCAATCTGTCGCGAGAGGTTCATCAACTACGGTTGTTACTAAACCGGATTAACGTGCAAATGTAGTCATTGACTATAAAGGAGGTCAATATAACTCGCGACCTCTGTTTCTCTCCATTTCCAAAGTATATACGCGAAAATGTTGAAATTCCGATACTCACAGCATCTTAACGGTCCTGATAAATCACCCCTTTGATTATTTTACATATTTACGCGTCGGTAAAACACGAACGACCAATAAAGGAGCTCGAAAATCGTCCGATAATGTTGATGACTAACAATATTAAAAAGTTTTCAAGAACGTGACTCGCACTTGACAGAATGCCAATGGGAGAGTTAATTGCCGGTCGATGGGGACAAGAAATCCCCGAAGGAACGGACGAATGAGCGAACGGAAGACTCCTAATACCGGGCTTAACGTCGGACCGTGTAAATCACGATATCCACCTTCCGCTAATTTTCACTCCGTCTTACTTCGAGAGAATATCCACGTCCCGGCAACACGTGGCGCTCGTATGAAATTACCGTGGGGAATTAGCAGGGTCTTGCGCCGCGCTCTTTTTCCGAAACCGCCGAAACAATTACTCTCCTTGCACGTGGACCTTTCCCCCGCGTTAATAATTAAATCCATGGCTGCTCCCGTGGGGGAGAGAAAGCAATTAGCTTCGAAATCTCGCGTTAAATTATCATAAACGCGGATCAGCCTCCCGTCGAAGCTGCCGCCGTGAGAAGTGAATGGAAATTTATTCGCGACCGTTTCCTCGCGCCGGCCGGTACGAAAATTAATCAGTCGAGACGAATCCGCTGGAATTCTACGCGATCATTTCCGACACACGCACGCTTGATTTCGTGAAAAAACGCGTTCTTCTATATTTCACGTTGAGGCGGCGGAGATATGATTGAAACGGGATCGCGCGCGGAAAGAAAGATGGAAAGAGAGGTAGGGAATGACGTTGTTTCGCGAAACGTGCATGAATCACACGCAGTTAGAACTGCGTTTTATAAATGGACCGAAACGCCGCTCGGATAATCCGATTATGCAAATACGCGAAATTTACGCGATATTCGGAACGGTGACATTTACGATGGAGAGCTGAAAATTAGTGATATTCATATTGCCGTACTGTACTTGTAATATATACCGTCGTCCACCGAAGGAAGAATGACGTGTAATTTTGTATAAGCCGCAGAATCCACACGCACACACGCGCGATTGCGAATTAAAGAATCTCTCCCGAGAATCACGGCGTAATTACCGCGGGACGAGTATCGATATTAATTGATCCGAGCGTATCGTTCGATTCAATTAATTAATCAACGATTCGCCCATTTCGAACATATACCGCCTGTGATTTATGCGGGCCGCGTCTTGCGACTTAATCGTCGATGTATCAGTTTGAATTACTAATTCGGGAGCCATTGTCTTAAGTCCTCTCCATCGATGAATAACCTAGTCAGTCGAGCGGCAAACTCAATCGAAACGTCATCGAACGAAAGCAGAAAGCCAACGATAAACGACCGCGTGCGCCGATGAGTGAAATTACCTTTTTCCCGGTTGCAGTCTTCCTGGCGATGTAGCGTCTGCCGACGAAAGATCGCCTCGAGGGACCAGCCAATCGTGACACAGGAATCCACGGATTCGCTGCTAGACGTGCCGATCTTGGAGGCTCTCCAGAGGAGGCACAGCGACGCCCGGCTCGGTCCCACCGGAAGTCAAATCGGCGCGCTCGGAAGCGGACTGGCGCCGCCGCGAAGTCCGGAGATCCGTAGGCACTCCGACGTTTCGCCGGCCAGCCTCAAGGAGCTCGAGAAGGTAAGCGAGAATCCGCTGCATCGTCGACCTGTGCTTTCGTCATCTTCGCGACATTGCCCGCCATGAGATTAATGTTCGACGCGGCCGACTATCATGGAGTGAAATAGCGCACACGGAAAAATACATTCAAGTAAATATTATTTGTTTCAAGTATATTTTATAGTTATTCGAATATATATATATATATATATATATATATACGCAAGTGCATCATATGTTCGTCACAAGCATATTCAAAATACATTCTGTGAAACCTAGTAAGCTTAATCTTCAATTCAAAATATTTCAATTAAAACGCAAAAACTTCGGTTTACGATCGCGCGATCTAATTTTTTATTTCTCATCAAACGAAATTTCGTCAGAACGATTAACTTCGAGTGACCAATTCTATTCGAATTTTAGCGAAATCCGTATCGATTAATTAATTAATTAATTCAACGGCAATGAAAATCCTTTTGCATTAGAAAAGAAAAAGACCATTTTTTCCATCTAATCAAATCAGATTATAATTCGTATGAAATGAAATTTAATCCGTTCGACGTGATGAAAAAAATAAATTTCTCCGTGCGCGATGAAAAGTTAAAGTGAGAGAATATAATTAACAATTCTGTGATTAGCACGCTTTACGTGACGTTATATTGGCTTTCGATGTTACTTTCACGAGTTACCATCGCACGAGATCCACCCTCCAACCGAGATGCATAATTCAGTATCCTAAGAAATATCGTTACACGCATAAACGTCCCGCGTGCGGAATTAAAGTCGCCGAATTACCCGCGAGAAGAGTCAACGTCTGTCACCACGCTTTGAGTGTCCGCTTTAACGCTTGAGCTACACTTCGCTGTTGTCTCAAATGCATTATACATACTCCGCACTCGTCGAGATTCCCGCACGCCACTGCATTATGCAACAAAGCGCAGTTCGCTCGCTCGAGAGTGGCGTCGAATTATACCGTTCCGATTGTAGCTGTCGACAACGATATGATTTAACGTCGGTTTTACCGTCCTCGTCACTGATTATGCAACTTGATTACACAGTATCAATTCTCTGGAAGAAGAAAGAGATGATATCTCGTAAAAATCATGCGCAGGAAAAATCTCGTTATTCGTATAAATCATATACTTTTTATCTCTCGTTTTTCTCTTTCTCTTTTCTTTTTTTTTACATACTATCGTTACAGTACGGTTAATAAATCGATAATTAAAGAGGAGCAAATGGCTGGGCCGCTTTAAGTTTAGATCAATCTTTTTCAAGGCGACTCTCCGAGACGGAATGACATCGCTTTCGGCGTTATCGCGCGTTTCACGCGATACTCCGATGATCAGACTTATTAACCGTGCGCCGAGGATTCACCTCGAGGACGATAATTTACGGGACGTCATAAATTGTTCGGATACCGTCATCGGACGGAACTGCCTCGCGTCCGCCACGGCTTCAACGAGGTGCCGCGCGATGTCGAGCTTGACGCCGAGCTCGACTACTCGACGATTATCGCGCGTGTTGTCGGAGCGCTCGCACGAAACGAATGCACGGGGTTGAATGTGCGCCAGCCAGACTTCCCATTACTCGGCTGAATTTGGAGGGTGCACAGCAGCCGGCCGTATAGGTAGCAGAAATGCATCGTAATAAAGATTGCGCGTGCATTTTGCTACCTGGAGAGATGAGCTCCAAATTGCAGCCATCTCTATTAATTATTCCTTTTTATTACAATGTGGCGCTAATAATGTATTGTTATATATATATATATGTATGTATGTATGTATTTTTTTCCTTTTTGCGTCCGTACTCTTTGTAACATATAATTTTGCCGAGTGCCAAATAGAGTTACCCGAGGCAAGGTGAATAAATTTTATTTCTCCTTCGAATCGCAAAATAAAAAAGGTCTTGGACGAGCTTATTTCCGGAACGTTTCATATATGTATGTCTTTTTGTTTTTAATAGATTGCGTCGAAAAGCCATGGGGAGGAGAGATTATCTAAAATTTAAATTAAAAGAGAAAAGAAGATTACGAATTCGCGTAATTTTTCCATTGCTCTGTAACGCGTAATTCATATTCTACGAAAGTATGGATTCTCTCCATAGCTCTTTTCGAAGCAATTTCCATTTTTTTGAAAGCTGCTACGGATCAGAGGCATTATTTCCACTTCTGGAAATAATTAAGCTTTCCAGAGCGGTGATCGTAGAAAATGCTGAAGTATCGCGAGGATGGTGAATGAGATAAAATTTGTCCTAATCCCGTGTATTCCGCTCACCGAAAAATGCGTTGTCGTTAGCCCATCAAAATCTCCGCGCGTGATCCCTTATCGCTGTGCGTTCCTTCGCATTCTGCGAACGTGACATTTACGCGAGTCAATATCCTTGAATTTATCGAAGTCCCTCGGTTATCGATCGACGGCGGCACCGAGGCTGACAGACTCACATTGTTGCGAACCGACAACTTCGAGGCACCGCGGTAGACGCCTCACCCTGAGAGAGAATTTATCGACAAGTCGTTTTTGTCGCCCAGCGGAATAATCGGACGAGTCGCGCGAGAGCGAGGAAACGACCTCGGAAACGGAAGAGAGTGGAGTGAAATTGAAATGAGGGAGAACGAATCGAGAGAAACGGGAAAATGGAGGCGAAAATTTTCGTACTTGTGCACACGCGGTTATCTACCTCACTCGCGGTAAAATTATAAAGAAGCGCATCCGATCGTCGTCATATTCACATTCGCCTCATCTCTCTCTCTCTCTCTCTCTCTCTCTCTCTCTCTTTCTCTCTGGGATAATATTTGTTTATAATTCAATTTTCTTTTTTACAAAGTTGCAAAATATGTTTAAACAAAACTATGTATATTAACCGACTCAGGCATCCGACAATCAATTATTATGTATTATTGTTGACTACAGAATTAAATATATATTCTACTCTACTCTACTTTTTCTCTCTTTCTCTCTACTCTACACACACACACACACACTCTCTCTCTCTTTCTCTCTTTCTCTCTCTGAAGGTTAATGAGAATATCGCTAATATAGTTAAATGGGCTAGAAAAAATGGGTTATTGAATTCTGACAAATCCAAGGCCATGATACTTGGTTCATCTAAATTGATTAACGATGCTTCTTTTACTGGTCTTCCTGGGGTATCTATACATGGAATAAGTAATCTCTTCTCAAAATCTGTGCGATAGATGTAGCTATAATGAATAACTTTCCTGGGAACTACAGATCAATGATATTGTGGAAAAGGTAAGCAAAGCTCTCTATTTCAAGCTATATGAAGCTATGTGGACATTTCCTTCTTATCAATGTTCGACGTACGTTATATCGACTCTGATTTTACCCCATTTTGACTACTATTGTGCAGTTTTCAGTAATGTGTATCGCTTAACTATTGGAACAAAATTCGGTCCAGCGTTAGAAAGACGAATACAATTGTTAATTTCAAATACAAACCATTTATGTTTCCGTTAAAGTTTAATGTAGTTGTTAATTACTCACTTGTAAATATATTTCTCACTAGTGTGAGTTATGTTACGATAACTTTTTACTACTGTAAATATTTAATATAATTTTGATTTCTTTAGTTCTGTACACTTACATACATATGTATTTATACATTTCAATTATGTTCTCTCGTATCTATGTACACGCATGTTCTCTCTCTCTTTCTCTCTCTTTTTCTCTCTACTCTTCTTTCTCTACTCCTTCATTTTTTAATTTCAAATCCATCAGTTGCAGCGCGCACTCGTTTTGCTTCCACCGCTCGCGGGCACTAACGGAAAAATTCAACGCAAGAAGCGCCATTGCTCTTGTAAAACATGCACGTTATATTTTTAAAATAAACTACCGTTTCAGCAATAAAACAAAACAAGACTACTTTCGCTATTTCATATTCAATATATTCAATCGTACCGCAGGCATGTTGTCGCCTTCTCTCCTGCAGTCAACGAGCTGATTTCTATCGAATTATCTTTCTTATTTTTTGTGGTTTTTTACTCTCTTAAAATGAATCAGTTATGTTTCTGATTAAATCAGTGAGAATACGTTTCATCATGATACCGGCGCGAAGAAAAATATTTTGCTGACACAGCAAATTGCTATGAGGACGGTAAAAAGATTTGTTACAAGGAAAAGATTATTTTGTAGCAAAACGTCGTTGCGATAAAACACATCGCTTCTCCTATATCTCATTAATTTTGACTAATGAAAGTAAGATTTCACTGCAAAATCTGTAACATTCCACCGGCTATTATTAACTGAGTCCTTTCAGCGAGATTATTGCTATACTTATAACTGATTCCACTGTTTTCAGTGACGATACATTTTCGAGAGTAGCTGTCTATGAATTCTCCGACATCTTTTGACATCCAACACGTATCCTTCTCGTCATTCATTCATGAGTTCGGAGGAGAGCCGGTCGTAAATCCACTACTTTGTCCGATGTTTGCCGCGACGTGATGAAATACGTTCTGCGAGCATTTACGCACGCATTTAAGCGTAGGCGTGCGCAAACCCAAGAGGATATCTATGAGGGCGTATTTATGAGGATGGACGCTAATTCCGGAGTTTATCGCGCCGGACATTTTATCTTCCTCGCGGTAATTGTCACCGGCGTTTTTTCCGTCAATCCACTTCGTCACGGCTGCCGGTTTCGACTAAACACGCGGTTCGATGGATGAAACGGGACGACGCCGGGCAAAATCGCGAGACCGAAGTGCAAAGGCGATTAAAATCCGCGTGATCGATTTTACTCGGCGGAGTGCATGCGTAAATTTAGTAGCATCTCGTACGACTGTAAGTGCAGATACGACCGGATTAAACTTGCATCCGGCGCTTAGATGTACCTATTGGATTATTCACCACCGCCGACTTCAAAAATCGCCGACCCACTTTCTCCGAATGAACTTTGCGGAGGTCGGGAAGACATGATCGCGACGTCGTTGTCGTTAAAATGTTCGTGCGCCGTGAATATTTATGCGCGCGACAGGTGCTCGAAAGTAAGTTTTGCGTTCTGGTACATCGCTGCCCTTCGCGGGCAGCGGTGCGCGGCATCGAGACATAATCTTTCACGGTTCTGTGACGTCGAGTCTGATTCGACATTATCCTCCGTTCCAAGCAGCCCCGTGTACATTAATCCCTTCGGACGTTTCTTCCCGAGAACTACTTATTTCAACTGCGTCTCAGCTGCATTTTTCACGCGTTTTCTCTTTCGACGTATAATATTTATTTTACCGATTCTTCAGTCTACTTTTCTATATTGTGTTATGAAAAACTTCACGTGCAATCTATTTATATAAGTTTCTCACGGAAAATCTTATCTTGCAGCTGCATCGCAACGCAGAATATTCGGCTAAACGCTACGTTATTTTAACGCCAGCACTCTCGAGTGACCTAAACTAATGTCTCTAATGAGTATAACTACCGATAGTTTCAGGCGATGGTTTTAGCACGAGTTTCATGTTACAACTCCATTCCATATTTACATCCTTTTCCTTACTGATATTGAAATAATGAAGTGAACTCCGGAAATAGCTTGTACCACGAATGGTTCTTTTAACACTGGAAGCATCTCATACGCACCATCGCTCTTATTCGCGGACTTTAATTGCTGTCGATATGTAATTATGCCGGATCGCGTGACGAAGCCTAGACGAAGTTAATTTTCGGACTGTTTCATTATTATCGCAAGCTCTCAGGTGGTTCGTCGCCTTGTTACCGAGGACGCTATTAATTTTCGCCGAACGCAGCGAAATGTCTTTGTTGCAGTGTGCAGGTGGGCGTCAGCTTTTTGTTTCAGCCACACAAAACCGATTCATAACGATGCAATCGCTCGTTTTGTTTACGAAGAAAGAAAAGCTCGGAAATTTATTCGGACAAGAATCGATTCGCGGAGAAAACAAAAGCCTTTCGGTCACGTAACCTTTCCCTCAGGGAGAAAACGTGATAAGTGAAATGTTTTCAAATTAGCAAATTTACCATTTCCGCGAGTTCCCGGTAGAGAAGACCCTCTCTGGGGATTGTTCATGAATCTTCTGCCCTAGCGTGAATTTGTGAAAAGTATAAATTTTCTAAATTGAGAATATTTCTGCCCTAGTGGAAAAGTTATCGAAAGGCGGGTTGTTTATTGCTAATTTTCCGTGCATTCTTTCACGATAATTTAAGTCACCTGCGTTAAGTTCCCCGAGAAAGTCGAACGGAAGTAATTGTAAATGCTGGTACAGTATTCGAAACAATTCGGGAATCGCCCGTTCAATCACTCCCCGGTAGTCGCTTAATAGTTCGAATACCTCTCTTGATAGCTTCAAACATTCATTCAGCCGCGATTCCCTAATTGTTTCCAGCAATCTACACGAATGAACTTGGCGCGAACATAACAATATCCGGCCGATGACTTAACGGCTTCCTCCGAATGAATCCAATTCAATCGGGTTGATTCGATCATCCACGAGAACGCTCTCTGTGCGTTGATCTAATCGTCAGCTTCTAGGTGTCGATCTATGGCTGCATAATCGTACTTGCACCCCGTGCCGGGGCCTTCTTCTCCCCCTGCCCTATCTCACGGCCTACATGTGGTGACGTCTCCCGCATCGTGCCCTAATCTATGTATCGTAATGTTGTAGTTTCGAAAGGTTGCAGGGGAGCGCCGCGATGATCTCAGATGGGACCTGGACCGGAAGAGCAAATCGAGAGGTGGCTCACCCGATCGCCATCAAGCCGACAGAGGCAGAGCGACCAGCCCTCAAAGGATGCCGGCTCAAGCGGGTGGTAAGTATATCGGCGAGACGAATCATTGAGAATTAAATAAATCGCGAAACATCCTTCCTGCTTGGTGAAGCGATCGAGCAGGAAGGCGGCGACCCGGATGAAGAGGAGGAACGTCGGCGTCGCGCTCGCCGCGGTGGCGGCACGATTCGCCGTAAATCGCACGTGACCAGGCAGAGATCCTACGACGACGAAATCAAAACCGCGGCCGCGATGACCGGCGGCGGCGCGCAGTCCGTGCACCCCGACACCGGCCTAGGTCTTCCGATTCAGCTGCCGAGACGAGCATCCGCTTACGACGTTTACGCCACACCCGGGGGCAGCGGCCTCAACGCGATGGCCATCGCCGCCGCCCAGCAAAGAGCATCGGCGCAAGGTACGGGGTCCTCCTAAGTTTTTACTTCATTTTTCAAGTATTTTGCGTAACTTCAGAGATGTTCCGCCGAAACAGCGATGCGCTGTAAATTCAGCCGCGGTACCTTCTGCGACCCTTCGCCCTCGTATTGCGCGCGAGGATGTACGGCCGGCGGAAGCTACCGGCCAGGATAATCGAATAGACCTTGTCGGGCAACAGCTCTATTCCCGCGCATTGTCTCGTTCCCCTGTCCTTACTTCCTCCATCAAAGGCGAGAGCGACCTCGAGGAAATGAGTAAGCCGATTTTCGCTAAGCGTATTTCGACCCGCTTTCCCATCTCGTCGGTACAACACATGCCGTGGCGACAGTCCTTTTCGGTCACATTTTCCTTCCAATTAAGCTGCTCTCCGAGACACTTCTCACAGAGAATTCTTAATTTCGATATTCGCAAAGTCGCGCACTGCTCTTCTGATATCTTTTGTATTCTCCTTGCGTTTTTCCCCGTTAAAAGCTCTTGACTGAAAATCTCGCTCTAATCGGCGAAAGTTCATTCTAATCTCTGAAATGTCAGCCACCGACGCTCCTCGAGGGCATCATTAATGTTTTGCAGCGGGTAACGCGGAAGTAATCTCAGAATTTCCATTTTCGTGCATTCGATTCAATCGCGTCTGTGTGTCTCGAGATCTGGCTGTGTAACTTTAATACCGCGCGAATATTATTGCCAGCCTGCGTGATCGGACACACCAAACAAGCTCGATATTCAGCTTTTCTCTCTCTCCCACGCGGAAGATCATATTCACAGAGAAGTTGCAGCGTACTTCCTGCGGAAACTATTTGCGTCACAGAGCAGCGTAACATGGTTTTAAAGCCACCGCGCGAAACGCGTTCCAGCGCTTTTCGCATCTTCTCGGGTGTGGCGCTTTACAGTTTTAATTCGATGTTTCGCAAGCTATCGATATCGATATCGCGCTACTTCGTGGAAGAAAATCAAACGCAATCAAACCAATCGAAATCTTCGCTGATATTCTCACTCGACGAGAGTTTCGCGTGGATTACGAGACCAAGTAAGAAATTTCCTGTTCGAGGTAGCTCGCGAAAAAACGTATTGTCGGTTCGGTTTAAAAGCATATGTGTAAGTATACAAGGTGTCCTAAGTATGGCGACTTCTCTCTCGAAGTGCAAAATCTTCAAGTTCTTTGACCCTTTTTGCTTTTAATATTAAATACCTCGGGAGTTTGAATCAAAACGTTTTGAACATACGTATAAAAAGAGACAAAGGATAAAAATTGAGATTACAAAATGTGTGTAAGGATACTTAACAGCGATTCCCAGTCTATAAAACGTGAAAAAACTCCACGACCATTGTAATTCGAATATTTTTCCAGATTTTCGTGTTCATAGTCACGCGGAAATGTATCCCGACACCCTATGTGTATCGTGACCTATGCCGTTTCTCCGCACTGTGGAGGCGGCGGCTGAATTCACTACTTTCTACGTTACAGAGGAAACAACATTGGCACTCGACCCACATTGTACTTTCGGTGCAAGAACATCACTGACTATTTTATTTCTTCCGAATATGTTTAACCCTGCCAGGCCTTTGTTGTCGAATAAATGATATTTCGATGCTTTGATATCGATTTTACCTTATTGTATTTTCTGCGTGCATTGTTATACCCACGATAAAGAGAAATACGAAAATAAATGTGTGGTATTAATGTATCACAATGCAGCGCATTGTATAAAATAAATATCTCTTTTGAAATAATCAGGCGTTTCTCAGTCGCGCTTCGATGAATAATGGTGCTATTTTTACGAAAAACCAGCGGGAATAAACACGAGGTCGTCAGTCGTTTCATTCTTAACACGTTGGCTACCGCGCTAAAATTGGATGAGTCCTGCGAGGCCAAAATTTATGTTCGCACGGCGCCTCGTGCTCTTTGTACTTAATAAAATTAAGAACCTGATAAAATCCTTCTTTATCAAGTAAAACCGTCGCCCATCTCGTAAGTGACGCAACCCCGGTGAAACTTCTATCTCTGGGTGACGCAGCAGTCAACGTATTAAGAAGGTTGTGAAGCGAAATGAGTTTAACAAGAATCCGATGAAATTTGCACTACGTATACACTGAAATAATATGTAGCTGCTGAGGTATTTGCAACTAAATATAACACTTTTTATACGCGTTCCTTGAAACTAGCGTGCTGTTTTTAATTTCTATTTTTCATATTTAATGCAACCAACTGCAATTGCTATCAAATTCCCTCTTCAGTATAGAAACGTTCAGTGTAGGAAGTTTGCTTGATAAATTTATAAGCGACCCTCTTCATACGCCATTGAAAATATGATGAATTGACAACCTCCTTAAAATTGAATGTTTTCAATCTTCTTCTCGATTTCAATTTATCTCGATATTGACATGTACTTCCTCGTTCGTTCGGAAAATACTTCGATTTCGAGTCGCATCGATGAACCCGAGACTTCCCCCGTCGTCTAAGCGATTTATCACCGTCCGCGCTGCTCTTTTAACTACTCCACTCCCATTATATCAACGTTGAGTCCGTTATTCGAGACAATTCACTCGCTCATGCGGGTCGCATGAAATATTTCACAGATAATACAGTTGGCCTGAAAACGTCGACGATCGTGTGCTTCACAGGCGCTCGAGAATCTGAAGAGCGCCACCAGGCGCGCAGGTCCTCCTTCCGCGCGGTGAAGCCCTACGAGGTCGCGGCGGACGAGGAGAAAATGATTAAACTGGACTCGTCACCCGCATCCGCAGTGGTACCAGCTGTAGCTCAACCTCTGGTACCTGACGAAGAGAGGCGCACTCGACGAAGAGGCTCCCAATTGTAAGTTCCCCGTTATCTCTCGAAGCCCTACTACGCGAATACGTGTAGATCCGTCGCGCACAATGATGAAAGCAAGACGTTATCTGAAGCCACCTTTAGTCTGAACGTTGCATCTTCTCGCGAGACAACTTCTTTATTCATTGTGACTCTACTTTTCCTCACACTCAACGAGCAATTGTTATCTGATAATTGCGACTTTATAATAATTCGAACTGAAATGTTAATTGCTTGGCAAAAATGCATCTGGTATTACTTCGGTAAAAATGACGCGCCAATCCCGCCGACTTCAATTTGTATTTTAACTTCAAGTTCCCGCGTAGGTCCGGCAGCTTTCCGTGACGCTGGAGTTTTGACACCGAGATGGACATTTCGCTCCCGCTTTCATGGAATCATTTTGCACTTGTTTTTAGGTGAGGTGTATCTTTGCCGCCTTCCGTTCGGAAATTAAGTATAACGAACGGAAATAGATAATTACTTACTCCGCGCAAAGTAATTCAACTTCACCTATGCGCGCATTCGATGAACGACTGATAAATACGGCTTCTCGTGGAACCTCGTGAATTCGATCGATTGACTTTTCAGCGAGTCGATCGGGGGGTATCTCGAGCGACGCAAAGCCGCTCGTAATATATCTCGAGAAATATATTCACGTTAGAAATGTTTCTCGGAGCACGATGTGTCGCGCGTGTCAAGATTTTACTGTTCGCACGACTTGCTGCCATATTGATCTTATCGCGAAGGAAACAAGTTTAAAGTATTCAATAGGCGAGCTATCTTGAGAATCGCTACTGCGCGCAATCAAAATATCTCTTTACCGAAGCACTCTCGCATTGTTGATCTTCCATTTCGGTGCTTCTTGCAAGACAAGATGTAAATCTGATATACCGGCCGTGAAATACGATAAGTTCGAATATGTCGTTTAACGTAGAGGTGTGGTAGGTTTTCAGTTCTACATCAAATCTATTTAATTTCACATTTCACATCTTTAAAGGTCTTCAATAGTGCTCCCTTTGATGCTACAAATGGCTTACTTCCGCTTTCTTCACTTGAAAACCTTAATGTAGAATTAAAAATTTATCCTCAGAAGGTCAAAATTCGCTTTGTGCCATCAAAAAAGCATTATTAATGTTTCTTTGATGCTACAAATGGGAAATTACTTCTGTTTTCTCCATCTGGAAACCTAGTGTAAAACTAAAATTTCGATTCGTCTAATCATTACATCTCGTTAAAACTCATCGGTGATTTACAGAGAACGATAAAAAGAGAGAAGAATTTACCTAAATTTAACTTGAAACGGCGTAATCAGCTCTGAATTTCTATTTTCACGCGCGTATCGATTCGACGAAAAATTCCGTATATACGTCGGACGAGCACCTTTTCGTAACCATCGACGTGGGGAAAATGAGGATCGATCTCTTCTCGTCTCATTGATTTCCCCACCGACGCTGATTTACCTCGCGGCTGTTCCCTTTTTTTCCGGCGATGTGCGCAACCATATGTTCGTAAGAAGCGCACATACGCGTGTTACGAGCGAAAAGTCAAGTGGATCGCAAACAGGAGGTTGCTGCTGGAGAAATAATTAATGCCACCCCACGCGTTCTCCTCGCAGTATTCGCGTTTGAACGAACGCGAGCACCTGCGGTTCTCGTCAAAGTCGAGTTTGGAACTGTTACAATTTCGGCGAGCTTAATTTTCCACGATACAGTGGCTGCTCGAAAATGCGCTAACGTAGCTCGCGATATTAACTGCTTGAGCGTTCGCAGCCACTGTATTATGCGACATTTCAAATAGATGATATGAAGGAAGCGGACAAATTCGAAACGCACTCGACGCGACGATAATTATTCCACCGCGACATTCACCGTTCATGGATTCTGCTTGAGAGAATCGGAATCATTTCGGTTCGCCTTTTTATCCATTTCTCCGTCATTTGTACATTTCGCTCGAAGAGTAACCTCGCTTTAAAATAAACACTTTGACATTGTGTTTTCTAAGACCGCGCGCCGTCATCCTATTACGAAGTGATTTTTTTCCCTTTTCCTTTTTTTGCGTATAAATCGGCGCTTCGAGACTCGGACGCTCTCGGTAAGTCCGCGGTAAAGATCTACATTCTTTGACCCTTCTTCGAGGGTCGAAGGTTCGACGTCGAGGGCGGAAAAGTGTCATCCCTCCGACAGGTTGTTACGCTTGCGAGAGGGAGACCGGGATGTCTGGTGAAAGGGTCGCGTCAGGTGATATATCGCCCTTGTCAAAATTGGCTTAACCCCCGAGCGCCGGCGTCGCCGTCGTCCTTCTTCCGTCTGAGCGAAGAAACTCGGGAAAGACGGTCGTCGACATCAGTCAGTGTTATGAATCATCTGGCTCGTGTAATCGCTATTATCTCGCACCGTCAGGTGCCATTGAGACCCCCCGAAGCTATCGTGTACGTCGATTCTTCTTGTGCGAGTGTCATTTCGATACATTTCCTGGATGTTTCAAGGGAGCGTTTAAGATCTCAAGAATATGAGAAAAATGTGACGGTTTAAGAAAAGTTAAGTTATGGGAAAAATTACAAACAATTCTTCCGCAATTTTTTTCGAAAATAATAGAGAGAGAGAAAGAGAGAGAGAGTCGGAATAAAGACAGATGGTGATCTCGAATGTTCTTCAAAGTACACGTCTAATTGGACAAATTGTGATAAATAATTATTTTAATCGTCACAATTCATCAGAGTAAACCCGCTGCTTATTGCAACGTTGTGAAAATAATTTTTTTCCTCGAAAGATTATCTCTTACGATCTGAACGTTACATTTATCTCGACGGATCGTATATTCGACGCTGTTTGCTGAACGCATCATACTTTCGCATCGTTAAACTCAAGAGTACGTCAAACGTGACTCTCGTAATTTAATTTCGCAAACGAAGCGCGCGCACATCGAAGCTCTCCAAAATATCGTTCCCGTCGTTTTTCGCGTTTTTAGCTCGTTCGGAAAGGTCCGTCGATTATTTATAACGTTGAGTCGTAATGTCTTAAAGCGGCACCATTCGTCGCACTCCTCATCGACACGACGGCTCTCTAAATCGGGAGACGCGGGGATAGCCGTTAGAAAATTGAACAACCGCGGGATCTTCTAAACGCCGGTTTAGATCAACGAAGCGTGACGTGACGTTCGGACAGAAGCGTATTTGCTCTTTAATGCGACCTTGCCGTCGAAATTCGATCGTGCCTCGAATGCCAACACGGTGACCGTGCGCCACGCCAACCGCGATCTGCAGTATCGTCATCTTGGTAGACCGCCGGAAATCAGGCTAAATCGTCTCGGCAATTCCGCCGAGCATCGCATGCGCGCGCGATGGCCGGCATACTTTCCGCCCCCGGTGAATTTTGCAACCCACGCCTGGCTAACTTCTCTCTATCGTTCTCTACGTTCGAATCGAGACGACAGCCGTCTCTTTCGCGTCATGAACGTTTTCTATGGATTTTCATATAAATAAGAATAAAACTTAAAGTGCAATTAGCGGTATCATCACTGAGAAGCAGTCACTAATGATCATAGTTGTACAACACTGCAAATCAATGAAATTTCGCCGCGAAAGTCCGTTAATAGCAACAAACGTTTCTATCGGAAGAATCCAACTGCAAATGAACTGCAGTGAAAAGAAATATTATTTATTATAAAACACGTTTGTCCTGGTATGACTCTCTAGCTCTTGATAAGTTTACCACCATACGACATATGGTTGAATGCATATAAGATATGTACATATATTTCTACTTCGAGACACGTTCACAACAGCGATTTGCAGTGAATGTTTCTCTGATGAAAAAAGCTAAGTGGAAGAGTTTTCACGAAAAATTAGTGAATACTCGCTGATTATCGGTAGAATGCTGTTTTACCGATTCGGCTCAAGAAAGTAATCATACGGATATTTCATCTTCGATGAAAACATCTTCTTTCAGAGGGACAGCTCAGCAAGCATACTTCTTATTGTCGTAGTGACAATATGAATAATTTGCGAATAAACCCCCGTGAAAAGTGTTTGCTTTGGAGAAAAGCGATAGCTTTTACATCGTGCTTTCTTATCATCGTCGAGAATAGCCGGAGAAACGCGGCGATAGAAGTTTCAATTCTCGCTTGCTAATTGCACGAGTCGTTCGTGCAATTATAGTATCCCGTAGCTTCGATCGTGACGTGAATTTTTAATTTCGGAACTTTTCAAACTCCGCTTACTTACGGAACGACGGTTTAACGCAATTATCGCGCTTCTTTATTTCTGCCCGCGCGCATCCTCCGGGTTTTCGCAGTAACTAAAGGCGCGCGAGCGAGCCCGCGATTTATCGCAGTTACGGAATTACCTTTAATCCTGCGTAGTTTGCCGGATGAAACTTACGCGGTTTGTTCACGCAAGAAGGAACGCGCCCGACGTGTGCGCAAATCATGCTCCCACTTCTCTCTGAATAGTTTCATGAGTTGGAAGCGACTTTACCGAAATCGGAAATTGAATTTGTAAATCCTATTTGCTGTTATTAGAGCACACAATATGACAGAGCGTTTCAGATACTCCCTCTTGTCGTAACTCAGAACGAAACATTCGCGAGGCTCGGTGAGAAAATATCACTAAACGCACACGAATTAAACGGAACTCGATCTTCCGGTGGAGATCTTGCGGAGGATGTGCTAATCGATATTGCCGCGCTGCTCATTCTTATTCAGCGAAAATGGCAGGAAGAGCTTTTATTCCGCCGGAGTTCGTGATGGCACTGCGCAATTAAGCGATTCTCCTTCAAAGAGTGGCTATGAGCCGCGATGAAAAGAACGGGAAAAATCTCATAAAGGGGTATGATCTTGTAAATTTTCATCCCCGGTTAATTCTCGCGCGAATTCGAAGGACAGAGAGAAAGAGAGAGAGCACTTGCTCCTTTTAAAACTGACATTCGAAAGAGAGAGAGAGAGAACACTTGCTCCTTTTAAAACGGACATGTGACTTTTTCAAGCGACATTCCGCTGCATTTAATCGCAGAAATCGAACCGAACGCAATATGGCTTCCTGTCGTACATGGAAAAGAGATTCCGGATAGGAATCCAATGAAAAACGTTTATTGCTCAAACGTCAAGATCTAGCTAACATTTGATCACACACCAATTGCTATCTGCATTCTTCGAAATCGTCCTCTTTAATCCTGTCCACTCTCTTTCACTTGCTAGTTTTCTCGTGCGCCAACCGCTCGCTGATTCTTTTTACTTATTCGCTTACATTGTCGCGAATCAGTTAACTGAAAAGCTGCTTTCCATCCACATCCGATTTATTTATAACGCGCGTATATATCCCGCGATTTGATCAACGCCTGAAAAATAGCATGTATTTGGAATTTAATTTGAGCGTGTGGCACGCTCCTAGCAGAGAAATTCCACCGTCTCGGAAGGTTAATGGCGACGAACGTGAAAGAACGGAGGCCCAAATATTAGCGGGAGAGTTCCTCGCGCAGTTGCGTGATCATACCGTGACCGATCCCCGACCGATATTACGCTTTATTTCAACAAGTGTATAAAGAGAAAATCCGTATTTTTAATAAACCGTCCCAAGTACTTGGAGAATTCTACGGGATATTTTAGACGAAGCAGTGAATCTCGAGATTCACCCTCGCCCATTCTAAAACTGTACGTTTGAGCGTTGCAAATGAAGAGAAAATATATCCACGATTGGAAACATCGCGAGGGAGAGGAGCTTACGTCAAAGCGTCGGAGGGAAAGTCCGTATTGGCGAAACGTTTGAGACGGATTTGCGCAACCTTATCCTCTCTAAAACGCACTTGATATTCCATCGAAATAGGAGGAGATCGGAGATATATATATGTGTGTGTGTGGGTTCGCTCGCTATTTTTCAATCTCGATCTGCGCTGAGATGTTTGCTAAAGGGACCTCACCGCCGGCTGTTGTATTTTTATTTCCACCGAAATAAACGCCGCTCATGCGTTTACACAAGATATTCGTCACGTTTGAAATGCCGATCGGTCGCGGTCGCGACCTCGTGCCGATACCACGCGAAATCGCACGAGCGGAAGATGCGTTTGCGAAGAGAAGAATCGACTATCGATATGCAAGATGGCGCATTTAATCGTTCGCGGGATAATCCCGCCGTTACGATCGCCGTTATTGACTATTCTTCAATTCGTTTCCTGTGAATTTGCAATTCTTTTCGATGAAAAATTTGATTAGATGAAGACGCACGATGTGAACCAACGACTCGTTGATTAAGAGATCAAAAGAAGGGAATTAATTGGTGGACGAGTCGGAACGCGCATACTGGAAATTGGAAGTCGGATCAATTCATTCTTTGTGAAAACATAATGCAGAATCGTGGAGTTATTTAACGTCCGAGATTGAAGAATTTTTCAGCCGAGTAAACGTCGAGAATATATAACTGACGTCATCAAATCTCATTTATTTCTCCGTTAAATTCGCGTAATTGACGTTTGAGAATTATTTATCGGAATTTTGAGATTTTACGTTGTCTGCGTTTCCCTCCTCTCTCTCCCTCTGACGATAATGGAATTGTATTTCTAATATTTTCCGCGTATCAGCCACGATAAAGACGAACATTGCAGAGCTGACCCTCTTTTCCGTCTTCTACGGTAGACCGATGAATGCAATTGCTTTTCAAAGAGAGACACAATATGCAATTAGCGATATACCGGAGACAATGAGGCAACAGACAGACGCGAGATGATAAAGAACATTTTTCGACGGCCGATCTTTCGCCCAACGTCGCTGTGGACTTCAAAGGACGATTAGAAGCACACAGACTGCAGCGATAATTCCATATACGTGCCAATTCTCCCCCCATTCCCCGCTATTCTCGCCGAGAGGATGACGAGCGCGTCGTGGTCGCAAAATTATCTCGGAGAAAACGGAGACGCTTTTGAGAGGTGCGACTCGTTAAAAGTTGCACGGCTCGCTTGAAGCTGTCTCGTTCGCCTCCGCGTCGTTTTCCCCATTTTCTTCCTCTTTTCCTTTTTGTTCTTCCTCCTCTCTCTTTCAGTTTCCCCACGCTGCGAATAAAAATGCGAGATAATCCCGGCGCCTGGGGGGACGCGCGTCCGCTTGCCTCCATTGTCGTCGGCGGAATTGCGAGTTTCAATTTACTAGGGAAGCTGAAGACGCGAGAGATGTACTAACGCAAGAATTCAGGAGGTGATCACGCGTGACCGACTTATGAATTTCTATTTATCGAGGCGATACGTTGAGTTAACTTTCCGGATCACAACTTCGCCGGAGCGAAGTCAAACGTATCTTCGCACGGCGGCATTATGCCTTCTTCAATTTTTGCGCGCTCTCATTCTCGAGATTACCTTCTTTTCCTTCTCCCTCTCTCGTAATTCTCCCAACTTCTTTCACAAAGGTAACTCTCTCCGAGAACCACCATGTCGTCGTCACATTTTCCCAGCAGCAAAAGTGGATTTTAAAGAAATCCCGCTAAAAACGTCGTTAAGTCTCTCCCGCACGATATATTGTAATTTCTCCGTCAATTTTCAGTTAACTTTAACGAGAATTCCATTCCATACTACTACAAACACCCGAGGTGTTTGAGAGCCGGGAATTTGTGACGGATAAAAGCGGGGCAAATTAAAGTATCATCAAGCACTTCAGGGAACCTCATATACCATTACATAAAATATACATCTTCAGAAACGAACGCTGTCTCGACTTTATGTATCAACACCGAGCTCATTACTCTTTATTCACTCTCTGTGTGTTTACCCTCCGTCTTCCAGATGAAGGGTTAATCGCAAAAATCGAGCACAACAGATACTCTTTGCCGTCGGCGGCTGCTCTCGTCGTAACATCGCTCGAGTTCCTCTCCTGTCAGGAGAACTTCCCGCGATTATGCCGGCAACTTTTCAATACGGTACATACACCGAGCTACTCGATACCGCGCCGACGTTCCTCCCCTCGTGTTTAGACAGCGAGCATCGTATTCATAACAGTTTAATGCTAAGTGAATCCGCCTCTGAGGAAAGTTCATGCCTTAGACGAAACAAGATCCCTCGAAAACGGAAGGAATATGTTTCCGAGAGAGAAACTCGATGACGTTAAAACGCGATTTAATGGACATCGCGTTGGCTGTTATATTCGAGAGATCATTATATTTAAAGATCTCTCTTTCTCTCTCTCTCTCTCAAACAACGGCTCAGAATTGAAAAGTTTGGAAAGTAAATTTTACACGCGGATGAAAGATTCGAGAATTTTTTACGCTATTTCTTTCTTTACCCTACTCTTTTCGCACGAAACAAACTATCGTTACTCCCGAGCAGGTGAAGGAAAAGCAGTAAAAACATGACCTTTTCGAAGAGAGACCTTTCCGTCCGATGTGGCCGTCTGATACTGACTTTTATGCCCGGTATAAAGATTGTGCTGCATGTTATCTCGGGCCGAGAATCAAACGTTTAGCGCTAAGTGTTTCCGGCGCGAAGTTGTTTCTGCACGGAACGAAACGACAGCGGCCGCGGGGCTACTTTATGGACCTCGAATGTAAGCTTCCTTAACCTTTATGGCACGGTTATTTGTGTCGGTGATGTGACACCGCGAACGAAGAATGTATTGCCCGCCTGGCGATGTTCATCCGCGCGCGGCGGAAAGTTTAACGCAATTGCGGCCGCGTTTGAAAGTCGCCCTGCCGGGGAAAAACTCGTTTTCGTTTGGCGAAAAACGCCCGCGGCGAGGCCGTATTTCTCGCATCCTCCTCGCTCGTTTTTTCCGCTCATTGTAAGGAAAATTTTATTTGAGAAAGTTAACTACCCGTTTTGTATCAAAAATGAAGGGCACATTCGTGACGAATTGCAGCGCGACGGGATTAGACGAGATCTAATTTCTTACTCATTGGCACTCGCTCTCGCAGAGAAACGCGCAATTTGAACGACGCTGGTGATAATCAGTATGGAAATATATCCACTCGAATATTCGACGTTTATATTACACGGTAAAATACGCCAAATCGCTTCAGTAAAATGTTTCACTTCACGTGTGTGTTTTCTATTATTATCTGGAATATTTTTGCATTGCCACTGGCTCCATGTTTCTCTCGTTACATTATTTCCAATTAATCCAAAATGTCAAATGGATATTCAAAGTGAGAGAGGCGCTTAAGTGATATTGGTTCGAGATAACGTGATAAATAATAACGGTATCGTATACTTAATATCGTTAGACATAAATTACGGTTATTAAGAGTTAATTTCGAGTCAACGGCGGTTCGATGCTCGACCGAGCGAAACGGTATTTCACGGTGGTTTATTCACGGTGGTTTTTGCATACAAAAGAACCAAAAATCGATATTGGCCAGGATATGAAACAGTATTTTTTCATCCTTCGTCCCAAGCGAAATTAAGCTTGTATGGAATAGTTTCAACGTATTCAACGAAAGGAGTTTACTCATCTCTCTTTCTCAAAAAATATCGTGAATCTTTTACATACCGTTTCAGACCCGATATAAACGCGATAAGGGCGTTGACATCGGCACCAGGAGCGGCAAAAGGCGCTCCTCCGACGGCAGTTAGCAGGGTGACGGCTGAGGAACGCGAACTACCTAGGCAAGGCAGTCTGGTCGATGGAGAGGGCATCAAGATCGTCATTCATGACGTCGACAGTGATGTTGGTGAGCCCTCCTATTGAAACATTTACAAAGATCTCGCGTGTGCATTAACCTCTTACCTCCGGCCATTACCAACTCCCTTTTTTATTCATTTATTATCGTTCTATTATATCCGTGAAGGGAATTTCTCCTGCGAAGAGAACACGATCGTAACACTATCAATAGAAAGTCGTCGCATAATTTGCAACTAGATGAATAATACCAAGTGACGAGAATAGAAATGTGAAGGAAAAGATACGCGAGTTGAGGATCATTGAACATCTGTGTCCAGCAAAATGCGATTAAAACCGTTCTCGATTGTTTAAGAAAAATTCTTCATCGTTTCATTATGTTACCAGGTTTGACGTGAAATTAATTTCTTCGCGCGTGATCTCACAGCGAATCGGAGAAAATGATGCGCGAACAGACGATAATTCAATTCCGCTCGGCGAACCATTTCAGTTAACCTTGAGGTTTTTGTCCCGCCAATAGTGAAATCCCCTTAATTAGGAATCGGGAATTTAATTGCGTTCGGGCGTAAATCCATCTATCGGGAGACCCAAGGTGTCGCCGCGGCAAAACAGAAGTGGTCCGTTTGTCTTGGATAACGTGGCGTTGGATTAATCGGACTATGATGTCGAACGTTGTTTTCAATTCGCACACATACACGCGCGCATGTTCGCGAGCTGCTTTTAACAGAATCACTCTTCCGCGGAGGAGTGGCGTTATAATACGCAGTAGTAAGGATCGATGATGCGTCCGCCGCCGCCAGCGCGGCCGTTATAAACGAACGAGGTGATCATTCTCGCGAACGTAACATCTACTCACGGCGAAGATAATACGTCTCGTATTTTTCGCGTATTTGTGAAATCACGAGACGTCTCCTCGTGAAATCCTCCCGCGAAATTTCTAAATTCTCTCGCACGATTTACGACTTGTCGATAAATATCTCCCGCGTTATATAGTTGGACATTTGCGGGGAGAAAATCGAAAAACAGTTTGTGGTGTAAAGACGTTATTAAAAGATACGCGAAGGACTCTCGCTCGAAAATGGCTTAAAGTCGTATTCTACAGTTCGCGAGATTAGCCGTTCTTTATTCCTTTCCTTAAATACAGTCGCTCGAGAGGGAAAGCGTGAGTTTTCGTGCAGATCGAAGCCCGTTTCTACCGTAAATTCGAAGACTCCGTTATCCGGTGGGATCATATTACAGCTGCCGCGACACGATATTTTTCTTGCGCGGATTACCGAGGCACGAGTGTCTCGATTAAAGCGCGCTTTCGTGTATCTCTCGCCTTTCGCGTTCTGCCCGAGCTTACAATACCGTAGAGGAGGAGTCTATTTATTTAAACGCGCTTTATCTTCTTCGTTGCAATTTTTACGAACGAGAATTAACGGCGAGCAACAAAGGAATTCAATTACCCTGCATCTCAAAAAATCATCCAATGAATAAATAGCGATATATTTCGAAGAGAATCTTGAAACTCAATTATATGTGCGTGATCTCCGAGAAATTTGACGAAAGATTATTTAATTATTTACAGTAATTCTGCCGTCCCAATGTTTAATCGCTCGTTTATGGACGCTTAGCGAAATTTTTTAATATTGACGGTGTGTGTCCACGCAAAGGTAATTTTCGTCACACATCGTTAGCGGAATGATTTTATCGCCATTAGCCGTTAGCCGAGACACTAACCAGTCTGACGCAGTACATTTTTTTTTATTACAACTGACCTGGTTTTAAGCTTCTCGATAAAAGCCATTTCATATTTAATTAAAACTAAACTCCGTTCCTTGGTATATCACACAAATACTCATAAAAGCCGGTTAAATTGATTTATTAGTTTCATGTAGCACCGATGAACATTCAAGTTTGTTTCAAATTTTTGCAATTAACAGCCACAGTATCATTCATTTACATATCATGAAAACATTGAAATAATTCGCAATCATTCCTCTCTCAAGTCTCACGTGATCGAGCAAAAAATCGGTCTAAATACGTTTCGTTTTATACGCGCGAAATTGTCGTCGCATTTTTTTAACCGTCAGTCGGGAATATCGGTTTTGACAAAGACGTCAATGAATTCGCAGACCACTCGATACCGTCCGCCTCCTAACTTTCGTAGAAGAAGAAATCGCTAATCAATAGTCGCGAAACGCGCGGTAAACTCTCGGAGTTTGCAGCCTCCGGCCGAGTCTACGAGTCGCAGGAGATTTTATCGCGACCGTATTTTCCTCCTCACGCGCGAGCCTCCAAGTTATACGGCAAAAACGTTTCATTTTTCTCACCCCGGCGAGACTTCTCATAGGCGCGCTATATCGATTGCAGCCGTTATCGCGACCCGACACGCCGGCTCTACGTGCGAATCGCGATCTGTGTTCCATGTGTTCATTAACGGCGTGTCGATCGGAAGGTAGATTACACTACGTCGTCTATCTCGCCGATAAACCGCGATGCAACAAGCTGCACGTGAGGGAAAGATGAGCAATGAAGGAAAAGCTGCGAAGATAACTCTCGCACCTTCCGTGCTAAATTGATTGCATGTAATTTTACGACGTGCAAGTTTGCCGTTGCAACGAGTAACGCAGTTTACACACACACACATACACAAAGGGAGAGAGAGAGATAGCCGTTTGCTGAAACCATTAGTGAGTCACGTAATTGATTTACGCTTTTGGCAAAGATACGGTCTACATGATATTCGTGAATAAAAGCAAATTTACACGCGAGCAACAAAACCGCAAAATACATGCGGCCGTACGAAGGAATCTATGTCTCCTTTCTTTCCTTTCTTTCTAACGCAAAACGAAATAACGTGTCCTACCATTTTAACATACAAATCACGCATCGATTTGAAGCAACATCGGATATCTTACTTTTTATCCGACTTTACGTCGCAACTTACGTCCAAATTTTCTAAAAAATAGGTATTGTCAAATGCACATTTTATGTCCACCCCGCGATCGATTTACTTAAAGTAAGGAGATTAACGCCGTGCGCTAAGTAATCGAGCAACATCGTCACAGTCAAACTGCTAACGAAATTCACACAGCAGCCCGCGGCTTTATGACGTTTGAAAGTTAAGTCAACACACTATTCTCTCTTTCTCCCTCAAAATGCACACAGAATTAAAAATATCTCTCGTCGCGTCCCGCAACCTACGTTTCCCAACAACTGTCCGGATGAATTATCTAACTCAATAATCTACATAATCTAATAGAATTTCATCGTCTGCTTTAAATCCGCACAGACGTTACGATCCAAGAGAAAGTGAGTCGCAGTCGTAATAATGAAATCTCTAAAACACGAAAGCGTAGAAATGAATTTTTGTCGAAATATACAAAGAAAAGCCGGATTATCTGGGTCATCTTATCCCGAGCAGAAACGAGTACACCAGTCCCTCCTGAAAAATATAGCCGCGTCTCAAGCGTTAAAAAATTTACCACTTTCACTCGGTCGCTCCCGACGGTCGCTTCTATCCCATCGCAAATTTATCCGCGGATCATCGTCGGAGGATCGATTTTGCGAGGCGTCCGTATCGATCGCCGGAGGGATGCAATCGGGGTTAGCGCCGAAATCGCCTTTACGCTACATCAAGCAGAAATCCCGCGCATTATATTTAAAAAAGGAACCGCTCTCTCCGGAGTCTCGCCTCGCTTCGTCGCGGCTCTTTCATCGTCGTTGCGAATGTGTATTAAATCCGGCAGCGCAGAAAAATGCAACGATGAGCGACAGCGCCGGTTAAACTCGTTTTCCTCGCGTAGGCGCCGTTTCTAGCGCGCGCGGAAACGGATATCACGCGCACGATCGGCAATCGCGAAACGATAACTGACAGCATTGAGAGGAATTTCGTTTCTTTTCGCAACACGATGCCGTCACTTTTGAAAAGCAACGTGCGGCCAACGCGGTTCCGCGCGAATCACGGCCGCGTGCTCTTTGCTCGCGAAAGAAAAATCATTTTGTTTTACAGAAGCTACTCGAACTATCACGTGTGTCTGTCCGTCAATAAGTCGATCCACACAATATCCTGGAAAATAAACGTCTCTCTTTCCCGGTTTTTCCATACTCGTCTTCGTTTTCCTCGGGCGCGAGTATATGTGTTTCTAAATAAAATCTTAAAATTACGTTGATTTTATCGATATCGACTCTTTTCGCGTTAATATCATCTTTATATTGCACCCATCTGCATCTTCATTCCTTTCTTTTCACTATTATTTATTCGCAGAAGGACGAGAGCTCGCCATTAAATACAGTTGTTGAATGTTAAGGTTGCATTTTTTTTTTCAGCTCCGCGGCTGAATGCGAAGAGGAGAGTGAAACTGAGAAGGGATCCGGTCATGGACAAAGGGCACAGAAGTGAGTATATAATTAAAGCATTAATTACCGTCATAATTGAAGTATCTACCCCGAGAGACTGAGTCGGAGGATTCGCGCTACATTGCAACTTCTATCGATCGTTCCAAATTCACCGGTAATGATAACATCGATATTGCAACGAACATTGGTAATGCTTCTCATTGTCCCTTCAACATCGAGCGCTTTCGACGTTATCGCGTCAACTTACTGCGCAAACGTTAATATGTATCGAATGTATTAATAAGTTGCATCATCGTAAGAGAAATTCCTTGACGAAGATTAAAACTGTTTCGCAGAACAAGTTTTTCATTTCAAATTCATTAACGTAAGAAACGAAACGTCTGTTTTTTGTTAAAAATTCATACTTTTCATTTCTAATTTGCCAGTGATCCGTGTCGCAATTTTTCTACAAGTACTATCTTGAGATCAACTGCTAAAGAAGTTTCTAATAAAAACCACGCGAGGCGTGTAAAAATTTGGATCACGAGACAATTGATGAATGACTCGACGCGGACGTAGAGGAAAATTCGATTAATGGCGAAATGAAGGATCGAGTTCGGTCTGACACAATAGCGAGCCAATAGGGACAGCCGGTGCTTCGGGAAGACGGCTGTATTATGCAGAACAATTGCGTGCTGAAAGGGGTGCAACAGGTTCGGCAGACCCGGCGGGACGCTAATCGAGAGATTAACGAATCGCAAGGTGCTTTGATAGGATCCAGGTTAATCAGCAACCGGGATCGGCGTCATTAATCTTTCACTGCTACGCGAGAACTTTATCTCGCTCTCTCTGTTTCTCGCTTCCGCTTTGCGGTTACCACCCTCCTTGGCTATTGTCATTTTACACTTCCGTCTCCCGGGCTCTTCTGTCTCGTTCCGCAATGTATCACCCGCTTCCACATTTCCGATAACTCCCTCTTACACGGAGGAGATATTATAGTAAAAACTACTACAAAATCATATCGGAATTATAACTGAAATGATGATGTATGTTGTAATCCTTATTCATCGTACACATCAGCAAAGATTACAAAACAATTTCAGTCATAATACAAAACTTCGTAATTTGCACTATGTAATATTTTCTCTTCGTGTAGATATTCGCTTTTACCTATATTTTCAATTGTAACTTGTTTCTCTCATTTATTCATCTCTTAAAAAATTTGAGCCTGTAATATTCGCGTCTTCCTTTCAGTTCCAACCAAACTCCTGTATTTGTTCGATAACCGTTGAATTTAATAGAACCGTTGGAAAAACACCTCCGTCAATTATTGGAAACTAATCAATTTTCGCTCCCGTCAGTATTTTCAGTTACATCTGAAACTAATTGAATCGCGGACTTCTCGCGAGGCGTTCACGAGAAACCTCGTAATACTTTCGGTACAAGCTCGCGCTCGTTGTTGCGTATCACTGCACCGACTTATTATTGTTACACGCGTATCTTACAATTCCGTTCTACACAACGAGAGTTAATCAACACGGTACCTCGAATCGCACGGATGCGAGATTGTCGATGGTCGGCCGTTGCTCTAAATGCGTGATGGTTTGCCGTTATATAATAGCTACTGGCGTATATGTACGTCAGATAAATGAGCGCGAGAAAGAGAGAGAAGCAGCAAGCCTGCGCCCGACGAGCTGGCGTGCGATTGACATTTAATTATTCGTTGCGCATTCGTTTCTCCTCCCTCCCTCTTTCTCTTTCTCGTTGCAGTTTATGAGACGCGACGCGGTAAGGGTTAGCGGAGGAGAATCGGATGTGCTGATTTTCGCGCGATATAATCCAGAATGAATTAATCGGATCGTAGAGATTTCGGGAATCACGAGATCTCTATTAAATATACGTTTTGCCGATGAGGATGTATCATTAATTAATTATACGAGTACAGAGAACATTTTCATAAATTATATTAGCCCAGCTGATTGAGAACGGCGCGCGCGCCATTCAGAAATATCGTGAAACGCGTTTTCCGCAAATAGCGAAACGATGGAAAATCAATTCGCAACTCGTCTTCTATTATTTAGATATTCGTACGCGCAGCGAGCTTGGCATCGTTATACAATTAGCGCACGGCTGCAATCATATATTAATAGGCGCGCTAACATTTGGAACAATTAATGCGTTTATTCAATAGTATGAAGCACTAGACTGTGACGCCCACGCGCGGTGAATTTACGAGCGGTTTCGGTTGTTTTCGTTCAACAGCGAAATACGGAAAATTATAGTTACACGAAACATACGTTCATTCGCTCGTATAAAATCGTATGAAATCATTCACGATGATTCGATCAAATTTCAACTATCGATATTTCAACTGTTCGCGTTGGAATCACGTCTCCCAAACGTTTTTTCCCCAACGCGGGAGGTCAAGTAGGATTTTCTGCTTGCTAAAGATAAATAAAGAAGTTTACGCCGTTAATATGCTTGGTAGTCGTTTTGCTACGATATAACAAGAAATACAAAGAATTAATGGATATATTCATACCGTGAAAATTACAGTGAGCAATTAGTAAGCTAAGATTCCACGGCGTTCTCAATATTTACGAGTTAAAGAGCGAAATAACGACGACTTGATTTCGCATTGTGGTCTATAAAATTATTGATCGCTTGAAATACGAACTTTGCGGAGGTCTTGAATTTTCCTTTTCTCGTTGCCATCGTCGTTCGCCAATAAGGCGACATGCGAAACGTTCTTGCGAGATATGTTCTCAACGCGGTGTAACCTAATCTCACTCATTTCCTATTATCGCACAGTCTCATTTCCTTCATCCTCCCTCGCTTATCTATAAGCGGAACAGCATCTGCTAATCGCGGCGTTATCTACGCTATCGACGACTAATACGCTGTAATCGTACAGGAAGCACAATAACGACGGTTCCGATCCGCGCAATTCGAAGGGAAAGCCATTAAACACGATGATACATAATGCCTGGACGTAAACCAGATGCAACAGTAACTCTCGGCCGCAATTTCGCGATGACTGCTTTTCCCGTGAGAGAAACGATGACTAGGCAAAGAGGATAAACATACGATATTCGCACCTAAGCAGTTCTATAAAGACTCGAAGCGTATTTTAGACTGTCTGCAATTCTCAACGAAATTCGCAAACGAAATTTCCAATTATAATTTTACGTTCCGTATGATACAAATAACATTCGAACATTTTGATTTTCTCACAAATAGAATTTCATCGCGAATTACAGATCATTTCGCAAAATTGATCTAAATTTGTTGGAATTGGATATTTTTTATTTTTCTTTATTTATTTATTTGATATTCTCTACAGATCACCGAAAATAAGCTGCATGGTAAAAAAACATTTTGCACTTGTGCTAAAATCGGTGCTCGTTAAACTTTTAACAAACCCATGTATTAATTTAACACATTGCGTTTACATCATTTCAATATTTTGTGTTGTATAGATATTCAACATGTGTAAATGTTAAAATAACACATTTTATACTTTAACTTGTCGATTAACATATTCATTTTTTACATAATATTTATGTCACTCTTCAACATATTCACTGTGTGTTAAATTAACGCAACATTTAATTTAGACCATTCGGGACATGTCAAACGTGTAAAATTTTTCACTGTGTGCAAGCAATATAAATTTGCGTTTCACAAGTACTTCTCCGATTACTCATCAAAAAAGACGGCCATATATCGCGAATCGATGTACCAAAAGAAACAAACTTACGGAAAAATGTGAGACATCCGTGTTCACCCGGCGAAAATACCGAACGCTTATATCCGTTTAAAAGCCGCGGTAACTCGAATATTCGGCGAGAAAACCGCGAACGCAAAGAGCGGTAGCAGTCGAGCGTTCCATAAATAGTGATGTTCCGTGGAAGACCCGAATTGCAATTGCGAGTTTGCACATACACCTATCCCCGGGAAATAGCTTTTCGTGCGAATCACAGGACATCACGGGCGCAGCTGTGCCTCACCCGAAGGCGCACTGCTGATATTCGCTGCGATCGATCGGTCGGCCGGCCGGCCGAGAGAGACGCGTTAACGCAAACGTGTATTTTGCAAGCTCGCTCACAAACCACTCGGCTAGTCGCATACTACCGGGACGATCCGTTGTCTTGGTCTCTGTCGAATCTGCCGGGGAATTCGCGAAAGGAAGCGCGAGAATCTCGAACGAGAATCGGACGTTCGTGATTCCAGCGATTCGGGCGGGATAAATAGCGGAAGCTTACTTTCCAATTAATTTCGCGATTAAGTGCTTTGATCGAATTTTAATCAGAGGCTAGGTCAGAATAAATATGTGCAGACGGGGAAGAGAGAGGGTCGTGTCCTCCCTCCGTCGATTAATTTTCGCCGAGAAAGTGTTTCCGCGGCGGCGAATCGATACCGCAAACAATTCGTAGGAAAACGCGATCCGTCTGTACAAGCGACGGCTAAATATTTTTGCTGAGAGACCAAGAGTGGCGGATGTAACGCGCGCGGCGAGGAATAACGCTGTCAGGAATTAACGATCAACAGGTTGATCTATGGACGCGACAGGAATCTGTTTTGATTTAATCATGAGAAATGGCGATGTTTGCTGCGGCAGTTTTGGTGGATATTGTCCCGGCTGTTTGGTCGGCGTATAACACGCGGGGGAAATAATTGCATGAACACCGTTACAAACGGACCGGTGTGGCATCTGATATATGATGTGCAAATATTTGCGCCGGGTTTCCTAAATGTCGGTGTGTTGTTGTAGAAAAACAGTATTTAAATCGACGTAGCTCGAGGAAAGTTGTATGCGCGCAACCTGTATGTTACAGATACACTGAGTTGTTGAACAACGACAATTTTGTCGGCGTGTAAATGCCGTCCACAGAAAAAGTCGAAAAGCTTTCTTGTGCCCCCTTCGGTGAAAATATTTGAAAATCCAGAATCTCATCCTAATATGCCTATTATTGCGTCGTTATTAATAGCTTATCTTGATAATTATATAATACGAATGATAGAAAATAAATCACGACCGTGTCTCAATGTATGAAAGC